CAAGCAGGCTCCCTACTCTGAGCACTGAGCCTGACTTGGGGCTCGAACTCATAAACTGTGAGACCATGACATAGCCGAAATCAAGAGTTGGATCCTTAACCAACTGAGCCACCCAGGTGCCCCTGAAATGTTTTCTTTCTTAATTGGATGTAATATAGTGAAAAGTATAGACTAGATAAGGCTGGGTGTTTAGGTGGGGGTAACGTGGGGCAACTGGATTGGGTGGAGACCAAATTCTTGTGCAAGAATTTACCCAAGGCAGAACAAAGGAGGTAGTTTGCTAAAGACACTGCAAGGGAGAGGCAGGCAGGATGGCAAGTGCCTGTCTGCCAAGAAGTGGTTAGGGACTTAGTTAAAGCTTATTTATTTATTTTGAGTGAGACAGAGAGAAAGAGAGTGCAGGAGCCAACATGCGGGGCAGAGAGAGAGGGAGAGACAGAATCCCAAGCAGGCTCCACACTGTTAGCCCAGAGCCCGATGTAGGGCTTGATCCCATGAACTATAGATCATGACCTGAGCTGAAATCAAAAGTCAGATGCTTAACCAGCTGAGCCACCCAGAGGCCCCCATTAGGGACTGTAGTTAAAGGAGAAAGGTGAGGAGGTAAGGGTACGTGTGGAATTTTCCTTTTTTGGTACTTGTGTCTGTGTAAGTAACTCATGGGTTAGCTAGGGCTTAGGAATATTTTGAGGTGGTGGCCTAGGGGGCCTGTTTGTATTTAGCGAGGCCGTTGCTGTGGGCCCTTTTATCTCAAGTTTTGATTGTCCAAGTTGGTTGCTTAAAAGTGGTCTCTATATTGGGTACATGGGTGTTATATCATCCCCTACTTTTCTGGAAGTTTGACTGTGAGGAAGAGAAAAAGAAAAGGACTCTCACAGGCCCTCGCCCCTACTCACCTCTCCTCTGGCACCCAGACTCCTGTTGTGGAGTGCAAGCCCATCAGCTTGCACCCACTTTCACACAGAGGGAGGGCATGGGAGCCAGTATTTGTCCTGTTTCCTACGGTCTCCATTGGTCTATCTGTTGCATAAAAGCAGATGAACTAAGCTGAATCCTTGGCTGGGACACTGACAAGCTATGTGACTTGAAGTCATTTAACCTTTTGTAGCTGGGGACTGCTGGACTGTCCTGCCGATTAAATGGACTAACATAGATTATGTACACAGAGCCTGTAACATGATGTAAGTGCTTGAATTGGCAGCTTTTCATCACCCAGTGATAAAAATAAGGAAGATCTCTATGAACAGATAGGGAGTGATTTCCAGTGGGGAAATATATATACTACTACACTACTTAAAAAGAATTTTTTAAAATTCTCATTTTAATTAAAAACATTTAAAAAAAATTTACATCCAAGTTAGTTAGCATATAGTGCAACAGTGATTTCAGGAGTACATACCTTCACGTCCCTTACCCATTAAGCCCACCGCCCTCCCACAACCCCTCCAGCAACCCTCTGTTCTTCATATTTAAGAGTCTCTTATGTTTTGTCCCCCTCGCTGTTTTTATATTATTTTTGCTTCCCTTGCCCTCATGTTCATCTATTTTGTATCTTAAATTCCTCATATGAGTTAAGTCATATGATACTTGTCTTTCTCTGACTAATTTTGCTTAGCATATCACCCTCTAGTTCCATCAGCGTAGTTGCAAATGGCAAGATTGCATTCTTCTTGGTTGCCGAGTAATACTCCATACATATATATACCACATCTTCTTTATATATTCATCCATTGACAGGCATTTGAGCTCTTCCCATACTTTGGCTATTGTTGATAGTGCTGCTATAAACATTGGGGTGCATGTACCCCTTTGATACAGCATACCTGTATCCCTAGGATAAATACATAGTAGTGCAATTGCTGAGTTGTAGAGTAGTTCTATTTTTATTTCTTTGAGGAACCTCCATACAGTTTTCCAGAGTGGCGGCACCAGTTTGCATTGCATTTTTTCCTGTGTCAGTTGGCCATCTGGATGTCGTCTTTGGAGAAGTGTCTATTCATGTCTTTTGCCCATTTCTTCACTGGATTATTTATTTTTCTGGGGTTTTGAGCTTGATAAGGTATTTATAGATACTGGATACTAACCGTTTATCTGATAGGTCCTATACAAGCATCTTCTCCTATTCTGTCAGTTGCCTATTAGTTTTGCTGATTGTTTCCTTCGCTGTGCAGAAGCTTTTTATTTTGATGAGGTTCCCAATAGTTCATTTTTGCTTTGCTTTCCCTTGCCTCCGGAGACAATGTTAAATTGCTATGGCCAAGGTCAAAGAGGTTTTTGCCTGCTTTCTCCTCGAGGATTTTGATGGCTTCCTGTATATTTAGGTTTTTCATCTATTTTGAGTTTATTTTTGTGTGTGGTGTAAGAAAGTGGTACAGTTTGCCCAGCACCACTTGGTGAAGAAACTGCCTTTATTCCGTTGGATAGTCTTTCCTGCTTTGTCAATGATTAGTTGGCCATCTGTTTGTGGGCCCATTTCTGGGTTCTCTCTATTTTTTTTTTTTAATGTTTTATTTATTTCTAGGAGAGAGAGAGAGTGTGTAGCAGAGGAGGGTCAGAGAGAGAGGGAGTCACAGACCGAAACAGGCTCTAGGCTCTGAGCTGGCAGTCAGCACACAGCCCGACGCAGGGCCCAAACCCACGAACCAAGAGATCATGACCTAAGCGAAAGTCGGACGCTTAACCGACTAAGCCACCCAGGAGCCCGTGGGTTCTCTATTCCATTCCATTGATCTAAGTGTCTGTTTTTGTGCCAGTACCATACTATCTTGATGATTACAGCTTGTAATACAGCTTGAAGTCCAGGATGGGTATGCCTCCTGCTTTGGTTTTCATTTTCAAGATTGCTTTGGTTATTTCAGGTCTTTTCTGGTTCCATACAAATTTTAGGTTTGCTCTAACTCTGTGAAGAATGCTGGTGTCATTTTGATAGGGATTGCATTGAATATGTAGATTGCTTTGGGTAGTATTGACATTTTTAACAATACTTGTTCTTCCTATCCAGGAGCATGGAATATTTTGCCATTTTTTTGTGTGTGTCTTCAATTTCTTTCATAAGCTTTCTATAGTCTTTAGTGTATAGATTTTTCACCTCTTTGGTTAGATTTATTCCTAGGCATTTTATGGTTTTCGGTGCAATTGTAAATGGGATTGATTCCTTGATTTCTCTTTCTATTGCTTCATTGTTAGTGTCTAGGAATGCAGCCGAGTTCTGTGCATTGATTTTTATATCCTACAACTTTGCCAAATTCATGGATAAGTTCTAGCAGTTTTTTTGTAGAATCTTTTGGGGTTTCCATACAGAGTATCAAGTCATCTGGGAACAGTGAAAGTTTGACCTCCTCCTGGCCAATCTGAATGCCTTTTCTTTGTGTTGTCTCATTGCTGAGGCTAAGACGTTGAATACTATGTTGCATAACCGTGGTGAGAGTGGACATCCCTGTCTTGTTCCTGACCTTAGGGGGAAAGCTGTTTTTCCCCATACTTGAAAAGAATTTTAAATAGTATACTCCTTAAAAAAATTTTTTTTAAATGTGTAGTTATTTATTTAGAGAGAGAGAGATGGAGGAGTAGAGAGGGAGAGAGAGAGAATCCCAAGCAGGTTCTACAGTCAGCACAGAGCCCGCCATGGGGCTCCATCTTACTAACCAGGAGAACATGACCTGAGCCAAGGTTGGATGCTTAACAAACTGAGCCACTCAGGCGCCCCTACTTTTTAAAATATTTTAAAGACTTTATTGTAAGTAACCTCTATAGGCAATTTGGGGCTCAAACCTACAACCTTGATATCAAACCTACAACGCTTCACTGACCGAGTTGGCTAGGCGCTCCTATTACTTGTAGTGTAAGAAAAATGTTGGGACACCTGGATATCTTGGTTGCTAAAGTATGCAACCCTTGTTCTTGGAGTTGTGAATTTGAGTTGGGTGTAGAGATTACTTAAAATCTTTAAGGACAAAAAAAAAAAAAAGTAAAACACACATGCTGGTTTCTGCAGAACAAAACAAGGATATCGTTCCAATTTTAGTATATGTGCTGCCGAAGCGAGCACAGAACAAAACAAGGATAAATTAGAAACACATGAAACTGATGTTCTATATGAGGGAAGATGAAACAGAAGGGGAGGAAATGGCACCTAGCTGGAAATACACCCTTCTATTATTTAAAAAAATTTTTTTAGATGTTTTGTTTATTTTTGAGAGACAGAGCATGAGCAAGGGAGGGACAGAAAGAGAGGGAGACAGAGAATACAAATCAGGTTCCAGCCTCCGCGCTGTCAGCACAGAGCCTGACGCAGGGCTTTAACTCACATACTGTAAGATGATGACTTGAGCCGAATTGGATGCTTAAACGACTGAGTCACGCAGGTGCCCCTTTTTGTTTTATTTTAGAACTGTGTTTATTTACTTAAAAAAAAAAAAAGAAAGCATGGGAAAAATTTTGGTTAATGTTTTTGGTTTAAATTCAATTAACCATATGCCAAATGAGTAAGATAACCATACAAGAAAAAAACTAATTAAGGAGCTTCTGAAGATAGTACTTTGTACATATACTGTCAATATAAAGAACTTGGAAAAAAATCACATTCAGTACCAAGTAATCAAAGTTAACATGACTTAAGCATGATGCCCTCGGTCTGATCACTCATGGAACATTCCTGCCTAAGGTGTATCACCTCAAGCAAATTTAGGAGGGAACAATTTGTCCAACTTGGGTGAGGGGCATTTTAAAACCTGGTTTATACTATTAAAAATGTCAACAACTAGGAAGAAATGATACGCACAGTGGAGCAGTTTGGAAAAATGGGAGTCCTGCTCCACATCAGTGATAGTAATGGATCACTGGTGAAGTTCTTGAATTTATGCAACAGAACATCCTTTCCCTGGGAGATACTCGGTGTACTCGAAGAGCAAAAGTAAACAAGGCAAAGTAAGTGAATCTGGGTGGAAGGCTCCAGCAGCTCAGTATACTGAACTCTCTTCAATGACTGGAGTGCTTCTGAGTCAGGAGAAAACACCGTAGCTCTTAGTTTTATTATAATAAATTTAGTACACTTTCTTGCAAAAAAAAAAATCTAAATGTTTAATATTGGGCATACAGCTTAAATGTTAGCCTTCAAATTACCTAAAAAGCAAACATCTGGCCTACTTAATGAAAGGCACCAAAGCCTGTAACATGTTTATTCAAAAAACATTGCCACTTGCAAGTACCTTTCTTTGGAAGTTGAAGATGTGCTTCGTGGCACTGTTTCTTCTGTTTGCATGAAACTCCCCTTGGCATGGCAGGAACCCCAGCTCTCCGGATGCTCACAGGCCAAGGGACACCCCAGTGTCACCAAGAACCCAACCCGACCCATCCCAGAGAGTGAGGAAGCAACACTGTGTAAGCAAGTCAGTCCTATTTGCATCGGACGATTCTGGAGCCAGAGAGCCAGGGAAATGAGGCACCCGAGTGCCTCAGCAGCTGCAGTGGTGATCCTGTTTGCCCCTGGAACTTGCACTTCACCTTTTCTTCACAAACTTCTTTCTGGAAGCATTGGGATTTAACCGCCTCCTCCCAGCTCCCAAGGTGCTGTCTCGGATTTGCAGGGTTGCTGACCGGCTGGAGATGTCGTTCTCCGCAAAGGGTGATACCCCAGCTATGTAGTCAGGGGCAAACACATCAGTTTTCTGCCTGGCCTTTCGGGAGAGTCTCAGCTGAGGGAAGCGCTGGTCCTCGGTCAGATGTGGGTTGATGGCATATTTGCCCCCTTTGGGCGTGGGAAGTGAATACTGTGAACAGGAGGAGGGAAGGCCATTAGAAGGATGAGGACCCATATTCAAACATGTCCAATCCTGTTAAGGTCAGGCTCACTAACTGCTCTCGGTGGAGAGTACCATTCACTGGTACTATGTGCTAAGCACATGACCTGTATCTTCCCACCTGACCCTGACCTCAACTCCCAGCCTGAAAAACCCAGTGTAGTATCTGGACTACATACCCTTAGCTAGGGACAGAAAGAACTACCTATAAACACAGAACTTTATTTAGCAGGTACCATTTTCACAGTGATGTGGGTTAGTAATTCTGAAACCTGTATTCTAGGATTGAGCAAATAAATTACTATGGAAAATGATGTAAAGAGTGAGGGCTAGAATGAACCTCTATGGGGCTATAAACTCATTTTACGATACAGATAGATAACAGTAAATACTCACGTGTACCTTTATGTACACATGTGTAGACCTACAATCTCTGTTCAGTGTGGGTGGAGAAATCTAAGACCCCCTAGTGCAGTGAGCCCACCCTGCGCTCATTCAGCTCTTTGCCTCTAAAAACCAGCTTTGATGATGAATCACAGTTCTGTAGAGAAATGGCTGACTCCAGGGCACAGACAGCCAGAACATCTTATGCCAGAAAGTAAGAAAGTAGTCAGAGAATAATTGGGACATTTAACTGCTGCCGTTTTCTTGGTCCTCTCTGTTGACTTTGATCCTAGTGCTCAGAGTTCCTGCTTTTCTAACCACAGGCCCTGCTGCAGGGGGCGGGGAGAGCCAGGTCACTCACCCGGAGGCCCCGAGGATTCAGCACCTTGGGGTTGCGGGAAAAGTGCATATGGAGGGTTCCATCGTTGCTGATGGTCACAGACACCTTCTTCAGGGTCTTGTTTCCACAATGTGAACAGAATACTAGGCTCATGTCAGATGTTGTCCTGGAGACATAAAAGGAAAGGCTCCTCGCTGAAGCCACGGGCAGCAAACCCCACTCCCAGAGTACAAGGTGAGTCACGGGGGTCAGAAAAGGAAGAAACAAAAAGAAATGGGGCAAAGCTGAGCAGCTCACAGCCCATGGCTGCTTGGCCCCCTGCTGGTGCCACCAGCAAACGGCTTCCACACTGCCTGGGGGCAAGGGAATGAAAGGACACAAGCAGCAAGTAAGTAAACACGGAAACGGAGCAGAATGTTTTTATGTTAATAATGAAATCTTACTTCATTACTTATATCTGAATTTGAACTTCAGAACAATCCTATGAAGTTGATATTCTTTCCATTTTATAGATCGGGAAACTGAAGCAAGATAAGGAGCTTGCTCAAGGTCACAGAGCTAGTAAGTGGCAGATACTAAGCCAAGGAAACTGGCTTCACAATCAGTGCTCTTAACATCACCACCCTTAGTGGTCTGTGTTTTTTTTTTTTTAAAGTTTATTGCGAGAGCGAGAGCGAGAGAGCATGTGAAGTGAGGGAGAGGGGAGGGCAGAGAGAGGGAATCCCAAGCAGGCCCTGTCAGCATGGAGCCTGATGTGGGGCTTGGAACACATGGACCTGTGAGATCATGACCTGATCCAAAACCAAGAGCTGGATCCTTAACAGACTGAGCCACCCAGTTGTCTGTTTTTTTTTTTTTTTTTAATGTTTATTATTGAGAGAGAGAAATGTGTACAGTTAGGGGCAGAGAAGAAGATGGAGAGTCCAGAGCAGGCTCCACACACAGGCCAGAGCCAAGCCTGACGTGGGGCTTGAACCCATGAACCATGAGATGAAGTTGGATGCTCAGCAGCCTGAACCCCCCCAGGCGCCCCCACACCAGCATACTTTGTAAACGGGCAGGCTGCCGCAGCTCTGTGCACCTTGCCCTGAAGTGGTTGCCTGGGTGTTAGCCAGGAAGTGCTCCAGAGGCGCCTAAGACAAATGAATGAATTCCACAGGACACCCTGGAAAGCTGCTCCCGTTGCCGGGGTGTGGTCGGCAGACCCTGAGGCCCTGCCTCTCCCCTATCCACTCACGCCACAATAGCGGACCTAGGCAAGAGAAGCTGATGTTGTCAAGGACCAGATGGCAGTGCTCATACCTGTTCTTGAGGAAGTCCCCCTCAGTTTCCAGAGGTCCGGAGACGAACTGTGTGAATCTCCTGAGAAGCCTAATCCTTTACCTGCAAGCCTCTGAGAGCAAACCAACTACCTCTCAACAGGTGCTAGAAACTAATTATTCTAAGAAACTGCCCAGTCCCTGGGGCTAACCTCACAAGAATGGAGAACATTTCTAAAAGCTGCTAAGAATTCGTATGGAGGAACGTGGGGTTTTGTAATGAAGGGCAATGGGGGAAATAATGTTTCATGAAGCAAAGAGCTTTACCCTGTCCTGAGCCTGGTACTTTTTTTTTCCCCCAGAAAAAAATTTTTTTAATGTTTATTTATTTTTGAGAGAGGGAGAAAGAGAAAGTGAGCTGGGAAGGGGCAGAGAGAGAGGAGGACACAGAATTCAAAACAGGTTCCAGGCTCTAAGCTGTCAGTACAGAGCTCAACACGGGGCTTGAACCCATGAATTGTGAGATCATGACCTGAGCTGAAGTCCGACGCTCAACGGACTGCGCCACCCAGGTGCCCTGAGCCTGGTACATTTTCACACTGAAGATTCAGAAGAATGCACAGGCAGCTTTGAGGAGTGGCTCACCACATCACAGTTAAGTCTACAGACAGTGGTGGCAGGGCAGGGCCCCTGAGCAATGAGTGACTGGCTGTTTGGAAGCCTGCAGGCAAGCAAGGGTCTGTCCAGGTAACTTGACCCTGAGTGGAAAAGCACTAGGGACCCAATGAGACACGCTGCTGCTTCAGAAACCTTCCATGCAGGCCTCAGCACAAAGGCTCCAGCAGATAACTGACATGATGGCCACCAAATTGAACCAGATCTGTGAAAGGACTGTGAGCCACCGTAGTATAAGACCCCAGGACCACACTTCACCAGCAAGGCTGCAGTACAGTCTCTTCCACTCCAGCCACGTCTCTGGGATCCTGAGGCCCGCCCACAGAACACCAGCCACCCCACCATCCCCCAAGAACCAAATCCAGAGCCAGAAAAGAAATGGAGAGAAGGGCATGGCCAGTGAACTAACAGCTCACCTGAATGGACTTCCTCACAAGTTCTAGATATCACGCTCTCATAGGACAATCAGCTTTTTCAATTTTATGTAAGAATCTGAAGCACCAACTTTGGCAAAACTAGTGAGAGACAAAATCTGGATCTGAACGTGTATAATCTGAATCCATTCCCCTTTTTAAAACAGAAAATCTAAAGTAGACTAAAAAGCACGATGTCTCCTCATGTACCCCTCACCCAGCTCCAACAACTAACAATTCATGGCCATCCTATTCCATCTCTATCCCTAGCTCCTCTTCCACTTGTGTATTATTTCAAGGCAAATCCCAGACATCATTCCATCCATAAACCTTTCAGTACTTACTATAAAAGGAAGATGGCTCTTTGCTCCAGAATCCACAGTCTTAACTCTATGACTAAGATACTAAAATGGGAGGTCACAGGTGCCCTATGGTGGGGATAGAACCAAGCCCACATAGGAATGATAAGGTGGAGGGAAAACCTATAGTCAAGGGTCTCCATTAGAGAGTCAGTAGAAAGGACAGGAAGAGGGGCGCTTGGATGGTTTAGTAGGTTAAGCATCGGACTCTTGATTTCAGCTCAGGTCATGATCTCATGGTTGTGAGATCAAGTACCAGGTCAGGCTCTGTACTGAGCATGGAGCCTGCTTGGGAGTCTCTCCCTCACTCACGTAGGTACGCACCTGTGCGCATGTTCTCTCTCTCAAAATAAACATTAGAAAAAAATTTAGAAGACAGAAAGAAGAGTTCAACAGAGAGGCAGCGGGTCCAGGTTTTCAGCTACGTACTTGAAACAGCCGTGGCAGCGTAAGATGTAGCTGCGGGCCTCTCGGATCAGCATGCCATTCACAGCCAGCACGTGCAACCCCATCTGAAGCAGGACATTCTGTACCAACAAGATAGAGCAGCACTCAGCTCTGAGCAAGGGCAAATTTTCTTTTAACTTCTGTATAATTACACTTAAAGGACTTCACAAAGCCTGGTCTGGCTCATAAAGGGCTTTTGCTAAGGAAAAGCAAGCTCAGAATGCCTCTCAGGACATGTAAATTAGGACAAAGACCTAGATTTCTCTCGTACTTCAAGGGCCCCTCATTAGCAACTATTCTTAACAGAGACATTTATCTTGTCAAAGGCAAATACGCTCTTTTCATAGCTGGAAATCTCTTCTTTTTCCAAGTACCTAACCGAGCACACAATACTTAACACACTGAAAGAGAGCCATTAACATATCATGAATAGTAAACACTAAAAAATCTTTATGTGTTTGTCGTTATATGGATTCTCTAGCCTCCAAGCAAAACTACATAATTAAAGGGCACAGGTAAAGTTTCTAGAACCAGGAAAAAAGGCATTACAGAGTAGATGTGTACATGTCCCCAAACCTCAGAGAGATCTCTGCCCGTGACAGGTTATGAAAGAGCCTAGGGCCAGCCAGCACCCATCCACCCACCTGCATGGCAAAGTCTGTAGTTACACAGCCAACCCGCACGTCCTTGGGGACAGCACACTGCCCCAACTCCCGCTGGATCTGCTGGATGTTGCTGGGAGTTATCCACCCACCCCCGTCGTCATCACTATCGTCTTTCCTTTCTTCAAATCCATTCTCTTCCTCCTCGTCCTCCTCACTTGGAACACCATCACCTCTGTCAATCTGAAACAAATCATAAATTCCCCGTTCGCGGGAGCAGCAGTAAGAAGCTGGCATGTTGTCATCAGAGATCAGAAATCAGGGCCTTACCAGAAGCTCCTGCAGTTCACGATCAATATTAGGCAAAGGGTTTCTCCAGAACACGAAGGAACTGAATTCCAGGTTCTCAGGCTCACCGGCTGCGTGTCCAAGTGGTAGTGTTTCTCGTGGGGGTTTAGGCTGAGGTTAAAAAGAAGAATGTTAAAAACTGAAAACTGAGAAGTTTACAGATGAAATGACAGATGACACAAGTCAGATAAGGCAGGGCTGGACAAACTAGGATATTAGTCTAGGGAAATCTGGCTCACTGTAAACCATTTGTGCAGATAGTACATATAAAAGAGGGCACGAGAATGTGCCCTAAGGAATCACCTTTGAGGGCAGATGGAAACCAGAAATGTGTAGAGGAGTCTCTGGGTGCTGACTTGATGAGCTCACTTTAACCTGTAAAAAGAAAATAGGTAACAGCTATAAACAGAGAAGTACAGTTTGAATTAGCAGAGAAATAGTTTGAAAATTCAACATGGAAAAGAGGGTAAAATAAAAAGCAAAATCTTTTCCCCATAATTTATTAAAAATTGGGAAACAAAAACAATTACTCAGGAATCCCATTACTACCAAATAATCACTTGAGAACATTTCTTTTCTGTCCTTATAAAAAAGAGCTGTAATGAACACCATTATTTAAAAAACTTGCATGTATCTTTGGTTATATACTTAGGATAAATGCCTAAGAGTGGAATTGCTGGGTCAAAATATACTGTTTTATTTTTTAAAGACACACTGTTTTAAAGCTTCTGATACCAAATACCTAACTCCTGAGGCACCTGGCTGGCTCAGTCAGCAGAGCATGAGACTCTTGATTTCAGAGTTGTGAGTTCAAGCCCCACATTGGGCAAGGAGCTTACTTAAAAAAAGTCCTGCTGAAGGTTGCAGGAAAAGGGCAATTTTTATGAATCGTGAATTGATGGATGCCAAATGCAAACCCAGCTACTCGTGTCACACTGTGCTCAGTCACAAAGTCAGGCTGTAGGTAAAACTATTCCCTTTACCTCCATCTTCCCCAAACATTCTGGTGACACACACAAATCTGTTTCACACATCATTTTTAGACTTTGGAATGGAGGACTCTAAACCTGGCTGAAAACAAGTGACAGCAGTTCCCACTAGTATGGGCATAGAAGTTCAGAATAGCTCTGATGACTTTAGGCACAAAATATCAAGAAATTCTTAGGGGTGACTGCTGCTGGCTCAGTTGGTGGAACATATGACTCTTGATCCCGGGGTTATGAGTTTAAGCCCTACGATGGGAAGAGAGTTTACTTAAAAATTAAAACAAAACAATTTATAGTCAACACTACTTGAAATTATTTATTATTGTATTTATTTAGCTTCTAAAATCTTCTGGTCTGGAAAGAGCCAATAGGGCCCAGGCATAAATCCATTACTCTCTTCAAGTAATGGTTAGTAATTACCTAACCAAAGCAAGTAAGTCCCTAAAATCACAATAGGAACCTAGGATTTGAAGATGGGAAGTTAAAAAAAAAAAAAAAGGCAAGCACATTACTTCTTTCTTGCTGCTGGAAGAAAATCTATTTAAAAAATAGCATAAATGTAGTTGATTTTTTACTCTATTACTGCATTTTTCAAATTTGACCATCCCTTACTAAAAACCTACAGATAAGAGAGAGATGCATTTGCTAACTGTAATATACAAACCTTATTTGGATCCTAAAAAGATTTGTTTGGATCAAACAAATCTTGAAAAAAAATAACTGGGAAATGTAAACACTATTAATTTCATGTAGATGTAATGATTTGGTGTGTGTGTGTGTTTGTGTGTTTTAAAGAGACACACCATGAAATATCTATTGATGAAAAACAATGTCTGAGTTCAAAATACTCAGGGTTGGGGGTCAGTAGAAATGAAACCTGATAGATGATGACTTGGTAAGTGTGGAGACAGTGATGCAGACACTGGGTCCATCATACTATATTCTGTTCTATGGGATAGTTCTCAGAATAAAACTTAAAGTAAAAGGAATAAAACCAATAATCCTCCTGACTTACCTTTTCTGGTTCTTGTTTTAGGTGAGATACCCCAACAAACTCTGCTTCTAACTGATAGGTGAGTGCCAGCACTTGGATATCTGTGGCAGAGAGGCTGGGATAGTCTCCAGTTTTCTTTGAAAACTCAGTCACTGTAAAGAGAGTCCCAACTTGTATTAGAAGCAACAAGCCATATGTCCTTAATCATAGTGAAAGTATGGAAAGAACTCAGAATCAGCATCCCAAGAAAGCCCTCTTAGTACTTTCACCCATTTTCTTATCTTATTCTACTCACTGAGGAGACAGTTGTATTCTCTATCACTAAAATTCTTGCCAATTAGATATACCTCATGGAGATGAAGGAACATGAGAACAAAGTATAGAGAAAGTCACTGAAAGCATAATGTTTGTAAATGATGAGAGTTCCTTATCTAAACTTTGGTATTATGTTAGCATAGAAGGTCTCTTCACTCTCAGTTCTAAAACCCTTTGGTTAACACAGCACATGTTGAGATTCCAAAATGGGATGAAAGGTTAACTCAATCAACAACTCTTGTAGTCTATGATGACACAAAATTATTGGATTGCTTCATGACAACTCTGCTGTATAACAATACTACGCACATTTCCTAAAGTGCACACGTGAACAGCAGCTAAAATTTCCTGGGTACTGACTATGTAGGAGGCACTGTGCTAAAAAATTTTCATTTCATTCTATGAAGTACTATCAGTACTTTCTCAGAAAGAATAATTTCTAATGATTCCTATTTTGGGAGGGCGCCTGAGTGGCTCAGTGGTTAAGCCTGGGCCTTTGGCTCAGGTCATGATCTCACGTTGGTGGGGCTGGAGCCCCCCAGCGGGCATGGGGCTCCATGCTGACAGCTCAGAGCCTGGAGCCTGCTTCAGAGTCTGTCTTCCTCTCTCTGCCCCTTCCCCACGTGCTGTCTGTCTCTCAAGAATGAATGCTAAAAAAATCAAAAGATTATCTTTTTAATCCAAACAAATCTACTGAATACTTACAAAGCGTCAGATACGAAGTGACCTATATTCCTCACTGAATGCTCCCAGCACCCTCTGAGGTTGGTGCTATTATTTTTCCCATTTTACAGAACAAGCAACTAGAGTCTAGGTGGTCCGAGTGATACCAAGAGGTACATAGCTAGTGACTCGCAAGGCCTGGCTCACTCTTGACCCAGGGAACAGCTCTCTCACCATTATCTCCCAGAAAGTGCAATTTCTGAATCAAATGCTGATAGAACAGCCAGACGGTCCCGGCTGTGGCCTGGGACGCAGCCCATCAACACCCGGGCAGAGGCACTCACCCAGCCGCACGTATTCCGGGAAGGGCTCCTTGAAACGCAGCTCGTAGGGCAGGACGGCGAGCCGCCTGCGCGTGGGCTTGTCCCGAATCTCGTTCACCACATCCCGAATAGTGTAGATGTTCTTCCCGATATCCTGCAGAGAAACAGGCTCAGCTCACACGCAACGTGCCGCCCGAGTTCCCGCACTACTTTGGGGGGCCGCCAGCCCAGACCCCCCTCCTCTCCGCTGTACCTCCCTGTACCTGCAGAGCCGCGTCTCGAAGGAAGGCCCCGGCATCCGCCACAACGTGCTCCACGGGCGCCATCTTGGCCGAACGCGGCCTTAGGGCGCCTGTGCACGAAGCCTGCTCCACCCCTACATCCCAGTCAGGGCCTCTGGGAGCGGGGAGGAGCGGTTGTGACTCAGCTGCGCCTCCTGGCGGCGGCGTAGGAATACCCAGGCTCCAGGCTACCCGCACGCATGCGCAACATCAGCAGCCGCCCAGCCAGGAGGGGGCGGGCTCAAACTCTGAGAGACCCCGCAGGGGATAGGCTTCTGAGTCCACGCTTCAGCTCCTCCTTTACTTTTAAATGTAAAACCTGTATATAGTCTAGCTGTTACAAGTCAGTCAATACAGCTAACTACAGATCGTTCACTGAGCACAACGAACCTAAGAGATAGGTACTATTTTACAGCTAGGCCCCCCTCACATGTCTAGTATTTGGCTGTAAAAAGATTAACACCCGGGTCTGACTCTTAATCTCCGGGTTCTGGGCTTGGAGCCTACTTACCAAAAAACAAAGGAACAAAAAAACTACCACCACAACAAAAAACACTTGGACAAACCGATCCTGAGCCACTTTCTCATCCATTGTGCTCTATTGACTGCTATGTACCTACCTCCATTTCATTAGAGGGGTCTTTGATGTTCTTGCCCACTTCCCTACGTAAGGCATATAATTTGCTAGCAAATAATTCCTTGCTGGATGGAACTGAAAGGGAGTATTAGATAATTTGTATGTAAATTCCTTTTTAAATCTGAGATTACATAATTGTGATATCTGGCCTGTTATAAATTCACGTTAGAAAATTTTGGTAGAATGTTGAAGTGGATTGTCTATCATTCATCTTTAGAGACATTGAGTTATTCTAAGCTTTCTCTGTCAAATCTTAAATCTCATTCCTTTTTTAATAATCTATCCATCCTACCTCCAAAAATCCTTCAGTGATCTAGAGGTCCCCTTCTGCAAGTTGCCCCAATCCTCTTTCTTTCCCCAAACATCTGTCTCAACTTTTCTTACCGTAAGTTCTCTTCAGTCTGCAGAACCAATGGTTTTTGTCCTACCTGCCCTGCCTGAAGTAACACGGGGGAAGGCTGTTTCTAATGTTCATACATTTTTTTGTGAGTTTTATTTCTCAGCTTTCTGTTTCTCTGCAGAACGTGACATGGCTCTCTCGGAACTGTTTGCCCTTCCCTAACTTTGGTGATACTTGAGTATCTTAGAATTACTTTCAACATTCTTGGGAGTGTCTCACAGACTTTTTGTCTGTCTTTGCCCTTGTTTTGTCTTCTTCCAGAAAATTGTGCTGGCCAATCATTACTTAGTGTCCAAGAAGCAGGTCAGTGGACCCCTCTGTAAAGCAGTATCTGATTACTCAAATCAGATTTTCCCTCAAGGACAGATTTGCACTTTTCTTTCTAATAACACTTAAGACATTTTTAAGTTTATTCATTAAAAAAAATTTTAATGTTTCTTTATTTTTGAGAGAGAGAGACAGACAGAGCATGAGTTGGGGAGGAGCAGAGAGAGAGAGAGAGGGAGGAAGACACAGAATCCGAAGCAGCTCCAGAGTCTGAGCTGTCAGCACGGAGCCTGTCCCATGAACTGTGAGATTATGACCTGAGCTGGAGTTGGTGCGCAACCAACTGAGACACCCAGGCGCCCATTTATTAATTTTTTGGGAGATAGAGCGCAAGTGGAGGAGCAGCAGAGAGGGAGGGAGACATTTCAGATTTTTTGTATGTCTTTTCAAAAAACCTTCTATACTGTAGGATCTATAGCAATGTGTTCAGTGTTCAGTACATGTTGATGAAATCTATTCATTCAGCAATTTACTTAGAGACCTTCTGTGGGCCAAGCACTGCTTTAGGAACTGGGATATGGCTCCTGTCTTCACAATTCTTGTAGTGGGAAACATACTACGTACACACACTTGCATATATTCATATATAAGTCAGATAGTGCTAAGTATGGAAAAATATGAGAAAAAAATAAAGCAGGAAGGAGGCTGGTAGGGGAAGTAAGAGATGTGTTGCACATTTAAATACGGTGATCAGGAAAGGCTTCAGTGTGATAGTTGAGCAAACATTTGATGAGGGATGAAGGAGTCAGCCATCTGACTACCTTGGGAAAGAGCTTTCCAAGCAAAGGGAAAATCGAGTCCTAAGGCCCTGAGCCAGAGGGGCTGAAGCAGAGTACCGAGGGGAAGAGTAATTGGAGATGAGGTATCATGCAGGGCCTCGTAGGCCAGCATACACTCATTAGATTCTACTCCTTTAATGCACAGTTGTGAGCATGCTTGCCTAGTCTTTTCTTTCTTTTGGTGAACATCTACTCAAATGCCACCAAGTCAAGGAATCCTTTTCCAATTCCCCTGGAATAGAATTAGTATAATTCCTTTCAGTGGAACTAGAGAAGCTTTAGTAGTCTTATAAATGGAAATTAATGTAGGGCTTAAGATATAGGAGAAGAGAGGCCTGATCTCCTTGAAATGCCATCTTCTGCGTTTGGAATGGAAATAAGTGCTCAACCAATTTAGTTTGCAGGCCTAATAGGATCCATCTAAACGAAAAAAACCAAAAAATAACACAATAATTAGTCTGCAACACCTAAGACTACTTATGTGATTAGTATTAATTTATTTTAAAGGTTTTTTTCTTTTTTTTTTCTTCTTTGGAGACAGAGTATATTGAATGAGGGAGGGGCAGAGAATAAGGGAGAGAGAGAGAGAGACAGAGAATCCCTAGCAGGCTCTGCAGTGCCCAATGTGGGGCTGGAACTCAGCAGACATGAGATCGTGACCTGAACTAAAACCAAGAGTCGGACACTGAACCCACTGAGCCACCTAGGCACTCCAGGTAGTAGTGGTTTTAAATAAATGGTGATTAAAAGTGAAAATATGGAGTCTTCGGTTCAGTTGTCCAAGTTGAAACGCCATACTATTAGTACAGAATATTGATTTACAGTGTTCTTTATAATTAAAAACGTTCTATCTACTTTGTAAATTAAGGGAATGGGGGTTAGTTTGGTGTGGTGAGGCACTTTATGGACCCAACGTGGGGTTTTGAAGCTTTCTTACCTTTGCTTTCTGTCACAAAAACAGATGCTCCATAAAGACTGATTTTGTGTTTCTGGAGTCTAGAATTGTGCTGGGTACTTGGTAGGCATAGGGTTGCCAGATACAGCGAATAAAAATACAAAATGCCCCACTAAAATTTTCAGATCAACAAATAATTTCATTTTAGTATAAATACGTCCCATGCAGTATTGGGGGGCTATCTACATACTTCATAGTAGTTTAGCTGAAATTCAAATTTATCTGGGCGTCCGTATTTACTGGGTAACCTTAAGCAGCGCAATAAAAATATTTGTTGGGTTGATTGGCCTTCTCTCACCGGTAAAATGAAGCTAATGACAGACCTGCCTCCGGGGTTGACGGGAGTGAATAAAACGCCGGGCACACAGTGAGCCTTCTACTTATTTGCTTGCTCCGGGACCACCCAGCGAGTGGAAAACTCTTCCACTTTCAAAAGAACGAAGGAGAAGACCGATTCCTGGCTAAAGGCGCCCAGGCCCTGCCTAGGTTGCCCACACCTGCAGGTCTGGCCAGCCTCTTCCGGGTCAGGTGACCGCGCGCGGTCACGTGACCCGGCCCGAGTGCGGGCGGTGGAAGGCGGAAGTGGGAGCGGAGTTGGGCGCCGCTTCTGTGGCCGCAGCAGGTAGCGAGCGCCGGCGCGATGGGCGCGGGGGTGCGGCGGGCGGGCGGGCCAGGGGCGCGGGGCGGGCGGGGGGCGGCGGGTCGCGCGGGCTGGGCCGGGGCGGCGCGGCCCGGGCGCCGGGGGGCGGCGGCTTCCTGTGGGAGGGGCCTGGCGCGGCGGTTCCGGCCTCCGAGGAGGGGTGTCCAGGCTCCCGCCCGAACGGGGTGGGCGCGCGGCGGGCCGCGCGCGGGGCGTCTTAGAGGTGGACTTGGAGGCTGGCAGGGGTGCGGCGGCCAGCGGGTCCTGCCGGAAGGGGGAAAGGAGCTTAGGTGTCAGTGATGAAGAGGCGTGACCTTCGTGGAGGGATCGGGACGGGAGGAAGGGGTGACTTAGGACTGAGCTGGAAGGGGGCTCCTGAGAATATGAATGGAGGGAAAGGAGAAATCAGGAAGAAGATGCGGTGTGAACCCCAGCTGATCGTCTCTTCCTTCCTTTGGAAATGATTGTTACCCGAGACTTTGATTTCGGTCCCATTCAGTTTTTAAACTTCAGGAAGGATCACAGAGTCTTGATCATTTTGCTTTTGTCACGCCCACTTTGTCCTGGTTGGGTAGGGTTCCACTTCTTGGGAACCTGGCCCTTCAGATCATCTTTCTTTGAGCTTTTCCCAGATCTGATCAACTTGGAGGCTTAAAAAAAGGAGTGTGGGCACTTTGCTCTGGCCGTAAAATGGCTTTTAGCCTAAACTGTTGACTATGATCTAGCCCAACCTTCCTTCAGCAACACTGACTGCAGAAATCTTGGACAGTGTCTCTACTGCTTTAGGACTTTTCTTTCTTCGGTTTAAATTATGACTTTTCTTCTTTCTTCAGTTTAAATTATTCAGTTTCCTTACCATGTGACTGCTTATCTTGACAAAACTTGTAAGTAGGTAGGGTAACTGAGAGGCCTGTGTTGTGTTCCTTAGAATTGTGACCTGGATCATGATTTCGATATTAAATACCTGTGTTAAAGCTGCTCATCCTTTTTTTCTTCATGCTTACTAAAATTTGCTGAAGTGAAATGAATTTCATGGATGAGATATAACTGGAATGAATGTTCACACTGGACATTCACAGGAGCCAGAGTCATTTTGGATTACAAGTAGGGGGGAAAATGACTTTGCTTAACAGTTAAAGGGGCGCCTGGGTGGCTCCGTTGGTTAAATGTCGGACTTCGACTCCGGTCATGATCTCACAGTTCTGAGTTCTAACCCATATCTGGCTCTTTGCTGTCAGTGCAGGGCCTGCTTTAGATCCTCTGGCTCCCTCTGCCCTTCTGCTAGCACTCTGGCTCTGTCTCTAAAAAATAAATATTTACAAAATTATCAAAAAAATAAAACGTGAGTTAAGGTTTTTGAAGTATTTGACAAACATTTAAGAATTAATTTCTGTAGGGGCGCCTGGGTGGCTTAAGTGTACAACTGGTCGGTTAAGTGTACAACTTCAGCTCAGGTCATGATCTCAGTTCATGAGTTCGAGCTTTGCATCGGGCTCTGTGCTGACAGCTCAGAACCTGGAGCCTGCTTCTGATTCTGTTTCCCTTTC